GGGGGGGGGGGGAGCCTAGAAAGTATCTCTAGTTTCTTTGATTGCTTCCCATTTTTGCCACTGATAGTGTTCTAGAAAATGTATCCTTGGGAAATTTCAGTGCTGCTGCAACTACATGTGCTATAAAGCGACTTGTAATTAAGAGCTGAGAACTGGATGTTCCTACCACTTCAAAAGCAAAGTTCCCACAGAACAGGAGGATATCCCTACCATGCCTGGATATGGATTTCACTGGGACCCTTAGGTAAGGCTTGGAGTTAAGTATACAGGTTGATAGGATAAGAGTAAAGGCAAAGCTTTTGGTAATGAGAAAGCATCTGAACTGAGCTACTGGGAACATAACTATAACATTAATTAATTTGTGTATTTGTATGTGTGTTTTTTTAAGCCAAGGATGGTGGCCAGCTTTATGTGGTAGCAAGAAAAAAAGAAAGAAAAATGATGAAAGTAGCTGAATATTTCCAAACAATTAGATGTAAGATATCAGATTGATAAAATACTTATATAGCTGAATGAATTTTTCAGTTTGTGTCTAAGTAATGCCCCTTTTTGCCTATTCTATGTAAAATTAAAAATAAGTAATGAACCTATGATTGTAGCTGACTCCAAGGCTTGTCATATTGGGGTGTATGTTGGGAGCAGTGAATATATGACCTGTTCAACTGTTTTCTCGTGGAATTAATCCTTTGTGTGTGCAATATTGATAAAGTTTAATATAAAGTCTGATTTAAGTCTGTTAAATCTTAGAGAAATATATGAAGGAAAATGTTAAATGTAGCCAATTTTAGAATTTTTAACTTTTAAAAAATGCAAGTGTTTTGTATTTCTCTATTTTCTAAAGAATGATAAAGTTTTCAAATGTAATAAATAAATAAATAATAAAATAAAATAAGTAATAAATAAGTGATGAGAATGTACTTCAAGCTATCAACTAAATATACCACAGTAGCCCTGGCCAATGTAGCTCAGTTGGTTGGAACATCATACTATACACCAAAAGGTTGCTGGTTCAATTCCCAGTAGGGCACATACTGGATCGATGATTCTCTCATACATCGATGTCTCTTTCTCTCTCTCCCTCCTCCCTCATCCCTCTAAAAATCAATTAAAAATAAAGACTCTAGCTCTAAATATCTGAAAACCCCAAACTGCATTTCCCTTTTGACTCACATTTAGTTTAGGTAAACATGGTACTTTTTAAAAATTAGTACACAATTACAATCTAATTTATTCCTTTCTAATGTGGGAAACAATTTAGTAATTTAGTTACAAAATGTTGTTTTATTGGACAAGATAAATTAATCAGGAAAATAACAGAACTAGGGGAAAGATTTTTATACTTTATCATAAAACCAAACTGGAATGTTTATTTCCTACTTTCTCTCTGACTTTACTGCCGACCAATAAGGTAAAATGTCTTCGACATATCCAATAAAATATTCTGTTTTTTAATGCTGCAATTCATCAGGATAAAAAACATTTGGAACACATCCATGAACTAGGTCAACAATTCAAATTCAAATATTCCAGGTCCTAGTTTAAATGGTATAAAAAAGATACCTTTTTCCTCTAACATAAAAATTTAAACTTACCTTCTGTTCCAGTTCATTTTTCCGATAGTTAATAGTAATAGAGTAATAATGTCTGTTTAGTCCATGAATTAATGCCTACATAGACAAATGATTTGAAAAAGAACAAATTAACATTTTTCATTCATTAAAATAAATACAACTGCCTGAAACTGTTAACATATATAGACATTACCTTTATTAACTTCTAAAAAAGGCTTTTTATCCTAAATACATATTGAATTAATTTTTTTCTCTCAGCTACAAGTTTAGAATGAGGTTTACAGGTGGGGTAGCACATTCTTCAAAGCATGATATAGAGCAGCAAAAACTCAACAGTTTCAGCAGCCTCGCTCACTCAGAGATTGGGTTTGACTTCATCATAATACAAATTATTCATAATTTATAAATAACACAATTTATTAAGCCTGATATTATGATATCTAGGGGGCTCTTTGTTATTTCAAATTAAAGCCTCAAAAGTCAAAATAAGACTCTTATTTTTTCACTCACAACATTAATCTGGGATTTCCCTTCTAAATTCAGTTCTAATAGATTTAAATAATTGTGCCTGCACATGTCTCCCAATTAACAAGCAGAGTTTGTTCTTACTGGGTCTATTTAGCTCAAGCTCTCACTAACCAGATCCACCCCACCCCCCGCATTTGATCTCCAAGACAAACAGGCAAATCATAATAAAAAATTTAAGTTAATGGCATGGGCTTTATTAAGAAACAATAACCCTGAATGTGCTGGAATCCATTAACAATTGCTCAAATTTCTAACACTGGCCAAAAAAGTTCAAATGAGGTTCAGAAATATACCATGGAAATATTTTCGACCAGCATAAAAACAAAGAGAGCTTTGGGGTTAACCCTTAGGAAACTAAAGATAATGCTAACCAAAACAACTGCCACACTTTCTAGTTATTAGGTTTTTACAATGTAGGTATTATGGTGTTGAGGTAGAAGGGGTGGAAAGGAGCCATTTAATGAGCACCTAGCATCTGCTTTATACGTTGTCTTCTAATCTTCACAACCACCTAGTAAGCAGGATAGTTTCATTTGTATTTTCACAGATGAGGAAAATAAGACAGAAATCCTAATTTGTCCCAGTTTATAACTAGCAAAAGATAAAGCTGGGATTTGAATCCAAGTCTTTCTGATTCCAAAGCCCATGCTTTTTCTACCATACTATGGTATAAAGTGTCTGAGGAAATTCCTGGATTAAGTCTTTGAATTTTAAGGGTCAGGATAAAAACAAAACATAGCTTACTTTGCTAGAAAAAAATACTCTTATCGATAGAGTACTAAGACATTTCAATACATACTGTTATAGTCCACCCATGTTCCTAACATCGGTATAATAAAATGGTTGATATGCACAATTAAAGCGCTAAAAGTGCTGTTAAATCCTTACCCGTTCTAATCATCATCAGGGGCAGTGAAGTAAATTTCACTGTAGAGTAATGCTGTAAGGTAGAGGAAAAACCTGGAACTAATTAGGGCCTTTCTAAAGCATTCACCTTTACGCAAATTAGGAAATGTATCCGCTGGTTGAAAGAATTAGAAAAAGGTGCCCAGTCCTCCAGGCAGACAGCCTGGCTGGAGGGAGGAGCTCAGACTAGATTTCAGGTACAACTGCACCCTCATCCAGGTACCTTTGTGCAACACCCTAACTACACATTTCTATCTTATAGTTAGTAACCGCTATGGTCAATAATTATAGAAGTCAGCCAATGTGCCCACAGGCAGGTCCACATTTTGGAGATTAACTGTATTGCTGAAATATATAGTTCGGTATTTGAAGGCACTACCTACTTGATTTTCAATTACATTATTTAGATAAAAGTAGGAAAATTAACAGTGTGAAAGGTTAGCAGGTATAATAACAAAACAAGTATGAGTTAAATAAAATGATATCCTCAAGCAGTCTTCCAATTTCACTTCCTCACCTGCTGTGTACCCCAGTGCATTTATCCCAAATCATAAGTAAATTAGCCATGTGCAGTCCTCCTTCCACATGAGCCCCCAAAGTGCAGCCTATCTTTTAGCTCAATAGATAATAAATTCTCTCAAATTAACCAATCTGGTTGACAATGAATTACAAGTTGTGGCAGCAAATGCCAAAATATATGATTAGTTTAATCAAGGAAGAGACTAACCTTCTGAAAGGGTCAAAAATATGCTAGCAAATGCCACAGTATATCAGGCAGAAAAAGGAGAAAGTTATATAGCCAGAAAATTTCTTAAACATCAATTCTTAAGTTTCTAAGTTACACTTAACAAAAATATGATGGACTTAGGAAATTTAGGCAATTCTTCATTGAAACAGGATATAGTCCAGAAGCTCATTCATTAATTGGCCATTTGAAATCTGCAAGAGTTTCTCAGAGAAGCAGTGCTCTAAAGCATAGTTCTATTCTATAATATATACTGTGGATTGATCTGAGATGCTAGCCAGTTGCTATTGCACTACTTGTAGGACAATATATTCTGGATTTATTGACAGCTCTTAGCTTACTTGGTTCTTGGATATCCTGACCCTTGTTTTCTTTACTCAAAGCCTGCCACCCTTTCAAGAAGAAAGTTCTGCCTAGGTTGGTACTCAGTACCAGTCTAAGATGCTATCTAGACAAAGAATGCTTTAGAGGAGGAATGAGACAAAGGGGAGTTTTGGGATCCTTCCTGCTGATTAACTTTCAAGTTATTTCTATGCTTCCCTAGTTAATCTTTAGAGTAGGGCTTTATAATTTTGTTGGTATGACAAACTTAAAACAAGCACACAAATAATCATCACAGTGAAATAAACTTCAAAATCAATCACCATCTAAATTATTTATATTTCTGTATTCACAAAATAATACTAAGTCTCATATATTAACAAAAAAGGCTATAGGTATAGGCATTATACCTTCCCCTCTCTACCAGGATTATTAATGGCTTCTCTTATTTAAAACATGAAAGTTAATATAAGCTTTGCCTATTAGCTTTATCTTCTGGTAGATACTTCAACACTGTTATGATTTTAAAATAACATTTTTGGTGTAAATATATAGGCACAGTTTATAAAATATATATTTTCAACTTGTATATCTTATTTCATAATCTTTTCTTAAACATATACGGAACTTAACTCAAATTATTAAATACTACTGTCCAATAAAATCACAATTTTTCAGCACTACTATAAGAATAATAGTAAAAAAGTCAGCAATAGAAAAGCACAGTGACTACCAGCATGAGTGCTGATGGTGGCTGTCAGGTTTCTATCCCCACTACTTGACAGTTGGTTTGGGAGCAAGACCCATCTCAATAAGAACTCGTTTTCCTTAAAAATAAAAAGCATGGCCTTTCTGAAGAGTTTCTGATCTCCGAGTTAAAAATTCTGCTAACATATATTAAAATTCTATTATGGATATTACCATTCACATTCTTCTGAGTTACCTTCTTTGTAGCCTGTCTTAGAAAACTAAGGTGTAGCTTTGTTCTGCCACTATTTGGCTTGATCCCATTTGAGTGTTTTAGTATTGAAATTGTCTTAATACTGTAAAGCACCCAGATATATGTATTCGGATAGGCACTACATAAACTGTGAAATAAATATACTTACAGATTTTAAAGGGAAGGTAAAACAAACTAAAATTAGAAAAACTTGGGTTTGGAACTGCTTTATAAGGTCCATCTTAAGTTACAGACTATAAGTTAGGACGAAAAAACACAAAGTGGATGGTGCAGAATAGAAAGAAGCAGGTTTTTAATACTGACTATACTAAATTTTTAAAGTTAAAAAGCAGTGTTTAAATTTAAAAGATGAAATCTGCAACAGGTGGCTGCTGACTTGCAATTAGTGAAAACTTCTGGCAGAAATACCATGAAGTAATCACAATGATCTTGGATTGTGAGATGCTACTCACCCTTTGGCAAAAAAATAATGAAGTAGTATGATGCTATTGGGGTTTATAAGAAAGGTCATTATCACAGGCTAAACAGGTCCAATAATATATTCTCTTGGAACATGCAAGCATGGGCTTGTCTGTATCCAATCGAAAACACTGGTAGCTTATTTCATACTCATTACACTTTGCAGTTTTCCCTGACTTATAAAAAATTTTGTTTCAAAAGCAACACACCTCAAATCCTTTGAAACAAAACATTTCACTCTGATGAAGATTTCAGATGAGAGACTGCTGCAAAAGTTAATATCTAAAAGTACAGTTATTAAAGTATAACGAAGGCTTAACCATGGCTAACTATTAAAGCCACAACTCCCCAAAGACAATGGTATGACAGCACAAGGTTTCAGAGGGGGAACAGCAATAGCTACTATAAAGTCTTTGTCCTATGTGCTCTATTTAACCAAACATGGTATTTCTGTCCTTTTAATTAATCTTCAGAGAAGCAATTAACTATATAGACACAGGTTGTGGTGCACTTAAAAACACATTTAAAATAATTTTTGCAGACTATAAAGATTTGTGTAAAAACAATGAGGCATGTGAATGATACAAAGAAAACATTAATCACTCAGGAGGATATTAAGTGTCTAAATAACTGTAATAAAGGTGGTTGACATCACTTCAAACAAGATATAAACTCTATAATCAAAGGTAATATATACATGCATTTGATAGGATTTGTTTTAGAGATGAAGATTAAACAGAAAAAGGAGAAAATAGAAAATGTTAAGTACTACTTGGGAAATGTTTCTGGGGGACCTCTTAAAGTTTACATCAATTTTCCCATTATTTGCTGCTATGAGAAATGTCTACTAACCAATTATGAATGAGAGCTAATGCACACCACCTGAAACTCCTATTGGTCCTTTATTACCAATGTTAACCCTGTAAAGCCGTAAGGTTATCTCAAGCTAAAGGTTCTACTACGCTCCCAAAAAGGGTACATATTACGAAAGTTTAAAGATGACAGTAAAAACTGACTCACATATAAGCAAACCTAACTTTTCCAACAAAATTTCCATAATCTTTTAAAGCACAAGAAAAATTAACTGTAAACAAATTAAAATGCTAAGTATTTGATCTTAGAATGGCCATTTATAACAGCTTTTATAATGTAAAACACAGTTTTTAACACATTATCAAATATGGACATTACCTGGATAGATGGCTTGTTTAAGTGACCCAGATTTGAGGTTGTTTGTCTTGGTTCATGTCCTAGAACCATCATATTAGCATTGATCAATCTGAAGGCATCAATAACAACCTGTAAAAACAAGGTGTCAGGTCAATTCTTTTTTAAAAAGCAAGTGATGATGCCAAGCAACAGTGGACAAGGCATGATCAACTTGCATCTGTTTCTGGCCTATTTCCAGAAAATCATTTAATTATAATATTAATAAAAAAGAACCTCCTGCTGACTGTGCCATCAGCACACCACCCTCAATCTTGTAATGTAAGGTGACACCAATTATTGCAATTTTCATGAAGCAGTAAAGAAAAATATTAACTTTGCATCTTCATTACTGAAATACGTCATTACTAAACTTACACCAAACAGCCTTCATTGGTGTGCATATGTTTGTCACCTAAATTTTACCTAATCAAAATGAATGACAAAGAGAAACTAAAACTGAAAGTGAGCACAAGCTAAGGGACCACATCTAAAGCCCAGCCCTGTCACATCAATTATACCACCACAGTACTTGAAATGACAACAAAATTACAACCAGCAAGGAACTTGCTCCACGTATTCTCTTCTAGTCAGATACCTTTTACTTCTTGTGACTATAAAAGACTATATACCTTGTTCAATGGCCTTAAGTGCCCAAGCCACTGTCAAGAATAGGAGGCACAACACAAGAAAATCAAGGTCATCCGTGCTTTACGCCAGGAACATGGTATAGCATGACATGGCACAAAGTTCACAGTAAAGAAATAACAATAGATATCCTCTTTGTGCTAAGTGTATTCAATATTTCTGTATAGAAAGACTTCAAATTCTTACATGATACAATGTCATCTGTTAGCTCTTATATATGAAGAGATTTAACAAGAATCACACACTATCTTACAGCTTTTCTCTGTTCATTACCATGGATCTGAAAGAACTCATTAGAGCTTTTAAATGTTGTGAAGTTTTAAATAAAGCACTGGGACTTTGCCTCTTTCAGGGAATTGAAATCAATTACTAAGAGAATAAACTCAATACATTTATCACATTTAAAAAAATCTTAAAGTAGGATAATATAGTATTTCTAAATTTGTCTAACATAGTGTTAAACAACTGGAATTTATCAACATTTTAAAAACTACTGCTAACTAGACTTGTTCTCATCTGTATTATTACTTGAGGATACCGAGAGATCAAAATAAAATTTATATTCAAGTTAAGCCAACTGAAATCTAATCATGTCTGAAAAATGTGTATAGTAAGTATTACTACATGCTGTATGGTGAAGAACAAGATTGAAAGAAACAAGGAAGGACGGAAGGAAGGGAGGGAAAACAAAAATCACCCTTTAAAAGGCAGCCACAAAGGGTCAACAGTATCAAAGAGTACAAACTTAAACCAAAGCATATGAGAAGTGAGTCAGTGTAAGGCCTCTGTCCACTCTGGTAGGCAAATCCCCTCACCCCCCAAATCAGCTTTGAATTTTGCTTTTATTTCTAACAGTTTGAATTTCCCCAAAGATTCCTCTTGCCTCAAAGTAAAACCAAGTATCCCCAGAATATGCATGATTTAATAGTTTGTAAAAACTCTTTTTTCTTTTTATACAATAACTACAATCCAGATTTGACTTTCACATTTATATATAAATAAATATGGCATAGGTTTATACCTCTTCCTTATACTTAAAATTGTTCCTTATCATGTTTTTCCATGAAGCAATAATAAAAACAGGTACTAGTATCAGACATTATAATAAATACTTTAAAACAGTTGTTTAAAATTTTCTAACATTTTCTACTAAAAAGCACATAAAATAAGGTAAAATTAAAATGTAGGCAAAAGAAAAGTGACCATTTTGATAGATGTGAAACTTAAATAAAAACAGAATTAAGAATTGCCACTCTTACTCTTAGTGGTAAATACTTAAGAGCAAAGCATCATTTTGGTCCAGTTGTTTTTAGAATACTTTGATTCCATGTAAGGTTTTAGTAAAATCACTTATAGGAAAAACACACTACAAAACCATGAAAATGCAATTATATATCACAATAAAATGCCTACGCACTTTTTTATATTGAACACTCAAACTAGCACAGAAGACAGCTACTTTACATGCGAAAATCTCTGTAATATTTATCTGGAATATTATAAGCAGATATGAAACTTCATAAAAAGGAAAATACGAACTAAGAAGATATCATGATTAAGTAGATACGTTAATTTAAAAATTAAGAAAAAATTTCAACAATTTAATATACTGTTCAACTAATAAATGATGGCCTATGTGAAATGACATGCTTAGATGGCCAATTCCTGAGTAGCAATATGATAGCCAATAGAAAATGCTTTGCACTAAGATTAAAGGAATCTGCTGCCATCACTACAGCAACTGTCTTAAGGAAACTAACATGTTCAATAACCTGCAGACCAAAATTAGACTTAGTACACAATAAAAATATAAATATGGCAATATAGTCTACATTTTAATTTCTGTACAATTTTATAATTGCTTTTTGCACTGTGAGAAAAAGTGGGTTTCTCCTTTAGAGCAACCTATCAAAATAGACTCATTAATGTCCAGTACACTAATGAGCAATGGGTAAAGAAGGTGTTAATTATGCCACAGTAAGATTCAAGAAAAAGCCCTAGTGAGCACTTGGAGGTGTGTACAAGCTGAAAGCCTTCTCCATGTTTATGTATTTACAGCATGATGCAACAGAATGACAGCAAAGTGGTCACTCCATGGTTAAGAATGGAAAGCTTAGATGCAATATACTGAACAAAGAACCCCCAAGGATTAATTAAGGTGATGGTAGGGGGACAGGGGGAATAATCCATTTTTTGGAGCTATATGAATTTTCTAAAGAGTTTGTTTTAAAGTATATATACATTAAACCAATTCAGTTTATGTCTTATAAATCTAAGAAGTAATTTAGCCAAAAAACTGGACACAAAAACTATCTCCTTAATTAAATGTAATAAAAACTTGCAAGCTAAAGTATGAAGAATATTTTCAGGAATATGCTGCTACACTTTTATAATTCCCTTCCATGCTGAAGTCCTCCACACTACACTGAATCTCCATTCACCAGCCTGATCATTTAATTTTTTCTGGTACAAGTGCCTTGAGACTTTTCAGAGGTCACTGCAACAGTAGACAGCTTATAACAAAACCATTAGCAGTTTGGCTAGCTTAGGGAAACCTCTTACTTTCCTTTTTTGTTTATTATCACTGCATGAATCTGCAGCATATGATAGTTTATAATTTCTCAGGCTTGTTAAATTCATGTTAAAGGTCTGTTTTCTTGTTGAATAAATTTTGTTCATATAATGCTGCCTATTTCATACACTCAGTCTTTAATAGCACCTTTGGTCTATGCGCAACTCACAGATCAAAACAGAGGACTAAAATAGGGGTTGATGATGCTATTTACATGTGTGATTCCTGCTGTCTTCTTGTTAGTAGCTTTAATATAATAGAAGACCTTGTCTGTTTTGTAATTAACACATCTTTACTGGAGAGATATTTGGAAGTGATTGCTGTGAATATACTGGTTAGTAAAATAAACACAATCACACACCACTTTCTGTTATCAGACAAATTTGTGAATTGTACACATTATATTCCAGATCAACAAACTGTGATATAACAGCCAAGTAGAAGACACATATTTATATAACCCTTATTTTTCTGAAAATATGTATTCACTCTGACCTTGCAAATATAATTAGCTTGTGGGATGTGCAGATTTCAGTACCATGGTTGCTTTACTAATTGCAACTCTTGGAAATAGATACTAAATATTTGGAAGCTGCCAATACAAAATAAAAACTACATCTTTTTTGTACATCTGTCTTAGCTTATAAAAGCAAAATAGTTTTAAAAACAATACTGTGTTCCATATTTATTCTAAGCACACCCAAGGGTCAAGGACCTATCATTTCAATTTAACAACGAATATGGTTTAGGACAAAAAACTAATTATTTTTGAATTCAGTTTAATCCATATTTTTTGGCTTCTCTCATGAGTATAGTACAGTTTATCCAATATGCTATTTATTTTTAAATTTTGTTTTCATGTCAACTGCTAGGTCACTGAAAGACGAAACAAAATTTCTAAAGCACCAATGTATAAAGGTCCCAATTTTTACATTCAAAGGAGTTTATTTTTTAAGTAAAGCTCTTAAAATTTGTTTAATACAAAGGTGTTTGAAAGAAAAATACATAAGCACTTCTGGCAGTAATTATATAATTCACAATACCTTCCTCTCTTTTTTAACAGTACCTGCTGCCTTTGGCACTTCCAATTGTACTTACATAGAAGTCAATGACATGGGAAAAGTTTTTATAAGAAAATGAACTAGATTTTTTTTTAAAGCTTGAAAAAATGTTTTAAGACCTCAAAATCAATGTCAAACATCAGGAAAAGGAAAAAGAGTTACAATTCAGTTACCAGTTAAGTTACATATTTAAAATCATATAAACCCACCACCATATAAAGTCTCTGAATGACTATAAAAAGACTAGGTGTGGAAAGAAAAGCAACACCCCATGTCAAATATCCTTTATCACCTAGAAATGTCCTGTTATCAACTGCTTAGGCTGTTTCCAGATTCTTTAAAAATTAAAGGTGCATGTGACCTGGGAAGTACTGCTGGAGTTTGTGACCATTTCGTTACTTCTGCTGCCATGCACTGCCAGACAGCCATAAGAGAAAAACATCTTATGCCTCTTGTAAGCCCACAGCATAAAAAATTCAAAGAAATCTTACTTGTTATGCCATTTCCAATGGGAAGCACTAAGAACTAAAACTGACTCATGCCAAATGCATATCAGTGAACTGCTGTGATTTCTTAGTCTCAAGTTTGCAACACGCAAATTATTTATAAAATGTCAATTTTAGCTCTGGAAAAGAAATTCCTATGTGTATGTACATTTTCTTTCTTCATCCTTGGAGAATTGCTTACTGTAGCTAGAGATCTGTAGTACAACTTCAATATATTGGGGGAAAAGTACTAGCATAATGTACTTTTTTTGACAAGTGAAGACATGCATCAAAATTCAAACAGAAAAGCCATAAGTTTTGAACATA